AATAGTGCAGATTTATTCACTACGTCTTTCTTTAGATTTCAAGTGTTCACATTTTAATCCCGCTACTTTATTTTTCTTGGTTCTTGTTCTTCATCCTTAATTTTTGGCAACAGCTGATACTTTTGCTACATTTTTCATCTTAAAAATTCCACCCCCATCCCTATGTTGACTTGGCTTGGGAATCGGACTAATCGACAGGTCTCAGGTTCGGCTTTGTTTATGAAGGACTAGGATGCATGGAATAGTTTGCATAATTATTCCCTGTTTCTCCCCTGTGAGCATACTAGAAGTCCATTTTGATGAGTTTTTCCACTTTCCAGTGTACATGAAAATTATTGTTTTGTTATCTAAGAAGGAATAAAAAAAATTTAGCGAAAACTTTCTTCAATAGTGTTGCATATTAAAACTGTCCAATCATATTTATAATTTATTTGGAAAGTGATCACACCTCAAAATGTTTAGAGATGTAAAGTGTCACAAGAGGATTGACTAACAGTTAAGAGGTTAGAAAAAACAATGTAAAAATAAGTGCATGAAAGGTAATTATTCACTTGATGGATATAAAAAAGTCGAACAATAACGTAATAACCAGTATTCCAGGAAATTGTAAGTTACTATACAAAATTAGAAGTTTGAATGCTTAAATAATTTCGTAAGATTTTTTGGTGGGTCAGTGTGACGAGAACTGACGAAAAGTCAATATTTATTAACTTATTCACCTTGACGTTTTCTTACGACCCGCCTATATTCAGCTGGACAGATGAGTTAACCGAAGATTCAGAATTACCCCCTGTTGAAGAAAAGTTCGATTCAGAACGTAACATTAAAACTGTCGTACGATATTTCTTCAATGAAGACGGTGATTTGATCAAGGAAACTAAAGAATATCAAAGAGAAAAACGTGTTGTTGCTTCACGAGTAGCGGACAGAAAAAAGTGGAAAAAGTTTGGCGCTTCAAAATCTGATCCATCTGGTGGAAATTTAGCCAATACTTACCCAGCCGATATAGTTACCATGCAAATTGTTCAATCAAGACAGGCATGTGTATATTTTTGTTCATTTACCATTTATTTATTGTTTAAAAATTTGCCACATACTACAGATGAGATGTCAATCATTTGACTGTCTGAAGTTAGTCATATGTGACGTAAAACCTAAGACATGAGTGTTGGATGTAGTTGTTATACCAAGTTAGCATATCGAGATGAACTATCAATGTAAATCCCACCGTAGTAGAATTAACAACAGCACCAATAGTACCTGATACATTAACGTGATGATCGTGCTTGCCTATCCTGATAACCCAACCGAGCTTTTTTAACTGTAACACGTTCCTTTAGGTCCTGTAATGCCATGGAAGCCGGCTGGAGACTAAAACCAGCAACTTAAGGTCCGAGGGCAAACTCGTATTGATGGTTACAGAGAGGTGTAATAGAGGTCAGGTGTTTCCCTTAGACAACTAGCATCTGCAGCGATGCTGTCTCCTCACAACGGAAAGAAAGAGTTAGAAAGGTCGATTATAAAAATGTCACACCCCACCTTACCCCATGGATTTTCATCTTCATCGATAAAGCGTTTTGAAGTGTGAAGCCAACACATTATAAACTTCCCATAAAAAGGTCGTGCGCGACCGGTCCCAAGCAGTTGTCCCTTGGGCATTGCGCTCACACTTCCAGGTCACTAAGACCTCCACTAATCCAGCTTCTTTATCAGATCCCTCAAGAAAAAGTATTCTTCGACGGTAGGAAAATTAACCACCGTCTTCATACCTCTAATAGCACTCGGAATTATCTTGTTAACGATTGAATCCTTACCTCAACCCATAATAATTCTTGCATCCCACGACTAATCGTCCTCGTATATCTTTATCATGACGTGCCACTAATGCTTTTAGTTCACGAAATGTTATTCTTGATCTTTTGAAACTACGCTCTAAACTACATGTTGGAGCTTTTGATGTTCAAACCTTGTGTCAGATGGGACAACAGGTTTCTTCAGCTAAACTCTAGAACCTCGCGCCTTAGATCTATACTGCATCCCTGAGACGCACATACAGGGTCCAAGTACAGTTATTAGTCTGACCTTACCTTATCAATCTAAAAAACCAGTACGTCAGTCAGTAAGTCAGTCAGTCAGTCAGTAACAACGTAGAACTTCGTGCGTACGTAAATCAGTTCGAGTTGCTACACCACATTAGCATAGAGATGCAGTGGTCAATTCAAATCCCGTAGTGGTAGAGGTAATAAGAGTATAAGCAGTAATCGGGAAAATTAGGGTCTGGAGATGTTATTTAAAGAGTATAATCCAGTGAAATAAATTTGAGAGGAGAAAAAAAGAGACAAGGAGGAATAAGGAGATCAAAATTTGGGAGAACACAAAGAGTGTATGCACCTGCGCCATTGCAAACGATTTTGAGCCATGTCATTCAGGGTCTCTAACCAACGGTTGCTATCATCTCGCGGTCCCCAACCAGCTAGTCTACACCTACCGACATGACTCAGTCCACTTGTCAGTGACTTCATGGACTTGTGCCATGTTTTGGTCTGGCCGCCTCTAGCTTTCTTCCAACCTACTCCTATACCACTGAACATCGCACGTCGAGGCAGTCGGTAGTTGGGCATACGTAACACGTGTCCCAGCCATCTCAACTGATGAAGTTTCACTACTTCACCAATCGATTCGTCATCCTTACCTAGTACCCGTTTCCTAACAACTGCGTTACTTACTCGATGGTCCCAGGATATATGAGCAATGTTTCGGAGACACCTATGATCGAATACTAGTAACCGACGAATATCCTCTACTCTTACTGGCTATGTTTCACTGCCATAAAGAAGGACGGAACGAACTGCTGCGCAGTAAACACGTCCTTTGGTTGATAGACGGATATCTCGCCTACGCCATAAATAACGCAAGTTAGCAAAAGCTAGTCGAGCCTTCTGTATCCGTGCTGAGATTTCGTCACACACCACACCACAAGGGCTGATGAGACTTTCAAAATAAGTGAAGCGATCGACACGCTCAACTACTTTACTCCCTATCATTAGTTCGGGTGTCGATGCAACCCAATCCTGAAGCAACATTTTGCATTTCGAGGGGGAGAATCGCATCTCGAACATGCTTGCATTGTTGCTTAGAGTGGTCAGAAGACTCTGCATATTCTAAGTCAACAAGTGAACCTCCCGGTAGAAGTTCAACCCTTTGAAATTTAGATGAGGAAAGTGTTATCTCTTAAAGTCCGTCAGTGACAAAGTTGAACAATAATGGAGAGAGTGGACAGCCCTGACGAACACCACTTGAGGTAATCAATTCTGATGACAGTTCGCCATAAGCTCTCACTCGACCAGTTGTGTTCGAGTAGAGAGCCTGTATAAAGTTAATGTACTTCTTTGGTACTCCTTTCAGTGACAAACACTGCCATAGAACCTTACGATCAACAGAGTCAAATGCCGCCTTAAGGTCGAGAAATACTACGATTGTGGGGCGTCTGAACGAGTGTCTGTGTTCTAGAACCTGACGTAGTGTGAATATCTGATCTATACAACCACGTCCAGGTCGAAAACCGGTTTGGTTTTCTCTAATCTGCTCTTCACGAGCTTTGATTAGGCGTCGAAGTATTATGGAAGCTAATATTTTAGAAACTATATTTGTCAAACTGATTCCTCTGTGATTGTCACAAGAGGACTTTTGTCCTTTCTTATAGACTGGCACAATCAGTGATTGAGACCAGTCAGATGGGATTACGTCCAGTTCCCAAATTCTACCTAAGACCTCAGTTAATCTCACTGCTAATACTGAACCACCATCCTTAAAAATCTCAGGAGTAAACCTGTCAGGGCCTGCTGCTCTCCCTCGTTTCAGATTTCCTATGGCTTTTTCAACTTCGTAAAGAGACGGAGGACCTACATTAACTTGCCATTCAGGTTGACTAGAGATCGTGGGAAACCGAAGTGTGGCTGAAGGTCAGTTGAACTGATTCCTGAAGTGTTCTGCCCATCGATCCAATCTCCTGGATTGAGAATGAATAATATGTCCATCTTTCTCTGAGATTGTTTCGCTAACGGTCGGTTTCCTTATACTGGTTTCCTTAACAAGTCTGAACAATTGTCTGCTATTACCTATTGCCGCTACCTTTTTCATCTCTCTTGCTTTCGCTACCCACCACTGTTCACGATCATTGCGTAGGCTTCTTTTCAGCTTGTGCTTAAGCTGACTCCGCTCTTTATTATGTTCAGAGTCAGATGGAATGAGTTTCCGAGCATCTATCAGTGCGGTAGATGCTGCTGAGATCCAGTGTTGCTCCCTAATTTTACGGTTTACCGTACTAGCAGATATCATTGCTGTTTCCACAGCTTTTCGGATATCAATCCATGCTGCCTCGGGGTGGACATCACTTACATGGCTGCCTAACTGTTTTCCTAGTTGTTCCTGAAATATACTCTTAGCTTGACTATCATTCAGTAGGCCCCTAAGAGGTTTCCTTGCAGTGTCTTTCCTACGTCCAGTAAGACGCAGACAGATACGCGCTCGTACTAGAGCATGATCTGAATCTAAGCATGTGCTCCAGAATGAGCGACAGTTTCTATCGAGCCCCTCCATCGGTGGCTGATAGCGATGTGATCTATTTGGGTCCAAAGTTGGGACGAATTAGGGGGTCTCCATGTTCAAAGATGTTTTTCCTTATGCTTAAAGTTAGTATTTGCAAGGAACAGATACACGAAGTGTGAATCGAGTCGGTTCCTTATTTTGGCATGATGAGGTGAAATGAATGACGCTATTCAGATCCTGTATGCGCGTTTCGGAGACGCAGCACACATCGATGGCGCAGGATTCTAAAGTCCTAGCTAAGGAAGCCTGCTGTCCTATTTGGCACAGTGTTCGGACGTTAAAATTTCCTATGTGTAGTTTAGAGCGTGGTTTCAGGAGACCAGGAATGGCGTTCCACGTACTCGAATCGTTTGCCCTAGCGGTGCGAGATGATAAAGAAACGTGAGGAGGGTTAGTCATGGAGATACGAGAGTTATTAGGAGGTGTAGGAAAGATTTGAATGTGACCAACTTGGTCTCGTGTGCTGTAACGGGTATGAGGGCTGATGTCACTTCCCGGCTGCCCACACTGTGGAGGAACCTGAAAAGCAATTCGGATTAATGTCGGCCTTAACGACCTGGGAGCGTGACCGCAGAGCCCAAGAGACAACTGTTTGAGGCCGATCGCGCACGGCCTTTTCGTGGAAGGTTTTTAATCTGCTAGCTCCGTTCTTCAAAGGGCCTTACCGCTGGAGACGGAAATCCGTGAGGTAAGGTGAGGTGTGACGTTTTTAGGGTCGACCTTTTCTAACCCCACCCCTCCTTGTGGGAAGGCAGCATCGCTGTCATGCTGGTTGTCCGAGGGAAACACCTTACTGCTGTCACACCTCTCTACAGTCAGCAGTACGACTTCGCCCTCAGACCGTGAGTTACTGCTTTTAGTCTTACCGTTCTCCAATCGACCTGCCTGGCATGGTAGAACCTACAGGAACATATGTTCCAGCCAATATACCCCGGTTGGGTCATCACGATAGGCAAGCCCGACCACCGCGTCAAGGTAGCAGCCTCGGTCGGGAAAAGAAAAAAAACAGTACGATATACCCTTTGTGTATCTTGAGACTTTAACTGTTACTTCCTGTGGCCTTGTTAGTGTCGGTATAGCACTAAGTTCAAAGCAGAACTGGGCCTCGTAGACTGGATCGTAATAGATAATCGGTTTTGAACTGTCCGACTAAACGAGACAATAGGAAATCGAAAAGATAGGGACACACGCCGTAGGATTTTTCTTGTCTTTGCCTGCACCCCCGCTTATAGCAACTCAAATGAAGTTAAAGATAAACTTTATGGGAAGCTATCCAACCTCCTTCAAAAATCTAAACACTGATGTATTAATAGTGGCAGCTGATTTCAATGCGCAAGTACGTAAGCTAAACCAAATATAAAGGCACGTAGACGGATCTTACTATGTCGCGACTCAACCAACAGATAATGACGTCTGTCATCTGCAAATATGTTTACATAATCATCCATTTCTAGAAAGCACCAACTCCAAACACAAGTAAAAAACATCGTTTGGGATGGAGGCCCCCACAATCGACTTAACGATTAGCTCAGACAGATCATGTTGCCACTAGCCGTCGTTGAACGGCTCGATAGAAGACTATTGCTCATTTTGGAGCACATTTTTAGACTCGGATTATGTCCTAGTTCGAGCACGTATTTTCCTGCAGTACAGCCACGGCAAAAAAGCCTTTATAGTTCAACGTAATGTTGAAAAAGCTTAGATGTGTTTCAGAAATAAATACAAAACAACTTAGTCAACCACGAAAGGGATATCCACCTTGAGGTAACTTGGCATGATATCCAAAAAGCTGTGAAGACAACAGTGATTTTTACTGATAACTTAAACCAAGACGTTAAGAGGAATCAGTGGATTTCAATGGCGTCTACTTAACTGATAGGTGCTAGGAAATTCATCCCGTTTGGCTCCGAACACGATGATGATCGGAGGCAACTTAAATGTAGGTTGATAAAAAGCCTACGTAATAATAATGTGTAATGGTGGGTAGCGAAAGCAAAAGAGATGGAAAAGGCAGCTGAGATAAGTAACATTAGTCAACTGCTCAGACATATTAAGCAAACGGGTATTAAACTTACGGCTGTTAGTGAGACTCTCAGTAAAAGATGAGACTATTATTCACTGAAATCCTGGAGATTTGACTGATAGGCAGAATACTTTAGGGAACAGTTCAACTGGTCTTCAGCCACACTTCAGTTACTCACTATCTCGAAGAGACCTGAATAGCAAATTGTTGTAAGCTTTCCAACTCGGTGGGTTGCAAATGCTATAGAAATCTAAGGTGAAGGAGGGTAGCAATTTGTAATAGATTGACTCTTGAGGATTTTAAAGACGGTAGTCCAGTTTTAGAAGCTAGATTGACTGAGATTTTAGCTGGAATCTGGGAAACGAACGTGATCCCATCTGCTTGGTGTCGATTGCTAATCGTTCCAATCTACAAGAAGTAAAAAAATCTTCGTGTGACAACCACAAAGAAATCGGTTTAACTAATATGTGCAAAATATTTGCCTATCCACGTACCTACTTAGCTCAACCCAACAGTTAGTGTCCTCGTGGGCTGATGTTACGCTCTAGTTTGACCGCTCCTATCTTACTTTCATTGTGCTCCTACGTCGGACATCACCTGTCGAGATAGAACTCTCTCGGTTGTCTCAAAATACATGAGTAATGCTTTGAAGCACGTAGTACCCTATGAATATCCTCTATTCTTAATGGTCATGTTCCACACATAAACTAGAACGGAGCGGACTACTGCCAAATAAACTCATCTTTTGTTTGGCAGACGAATATCTCGCCTACACCACATGTGACGCAAGTTGGCTAAAGCCAACCGAGCTGTCTGAATCCGTGTCGAGTTTTCGTCAAACACCAGGTCACCAAGACTGATGAGAACCCTAAGATAAGTGAAGTAGTCAATATATTTGACATTTTCACTCCGCATCATTAGTTCAGGCGTTGATTTAGACCCAGTCCTGAAGCAACATTTTGCATCTGGTAGGAGAGAATCTTATCCCAAACATTCTGGGATTGTTGCTTAAGGGGGTCAAAAGACTCATTTTGTCAGCGTCTTCACCAAAAAGGGCTGTGTCATCTAAGTATTTTCAGTTACCAAGTAAATCTCCAGGTATAAGATCAACCGTTGAAACCAGGCGATGGAAGTGTTATCTCTAAAAGCACGTCTATGTCAAAGTTATTTGAAGATGGGGAAATCGGACAACCTTGATGAACCCCACTTGAAGTAACCGATTGCGATGACAGTTTGCTATTGGCTCTAACTTGACCAGTAGTACTTGGTTAATGAACCTGTACAAGGTTAATGTACTTCTTTGATATGCCTTTTAATCATAGACTGATTCAGAACTTGTTGAACACCACCCTAAGGTCATGGAATACAATTATTGTTGAGCGCCGGAAAGTATGCCTTTGTTGTAAAACCTGACGAGTGAATAATTTGTTTTACACATCCACGTCTGGGTTTGAAACCAGCCTATTTTTCTCAAGTTTGCTCCTTACAAGCCCTAGTTAAGCGTTCAGTTTTCGTAGAGGCTAGTATTTTAGACATATTTTACTCAAACGAACTTAAATGTCCTACTAAAACTGAAAGTTACAGACAAGTTCTTAAGACTGGAATGTGTGATACAATCCATACAGCTTTCAGATTTCGCGTTACTTACTAGGATTTTTAATTACTTGTTCCTCATAGTAGTCAACCTTATAAACAATTTTGATAAATTTCAACTCATCTGGCACACGTATCAGTTTCTACTTTGCGTAAGTTTGATCAATTCTTTGTATTTTGAGGTGATATTTATCCAGGTTGTACTATGCGAACACTATCCTGTAGACTTGATAAAGCAAATAAACACATCTTAAAAACGTATGTATTGCAATGCTTATTGGTTTGAAGCAATTTAATAAATTCTACTCATGTATTCCTTAATCTCATTTTTTCGTACAGCCTGAACAAGAGCAAAAGAGACAGGAAGAGATGAATGTGAAAACAAAACTTGGAGAACCTGTGATTGTTTGTAATTATTGTAAAGGTGGACATTTCACTCGTACTTGCCCGTACAAAAGTGATATGGAAGCAATGCAGTTGTTACAAGAACAACTTCGTGCTAAAACGGAACCTACAGAAGAAACAGCTAAAGAATTAGTAAGTCGGAGTTGGGTTTTTTTATCTCAGGTATGGAGAGCTGTATATATTTATGGTCTGTAATATTTATATTATCGAAAAATAGCATCATAGAGATTATTCAATTTAAAGACAGTTCATGACGTTATGGAGTGATTCAAATAATCTTCACAAACACTTCCATTTCAAAAAATAATACTATACTCATCAGTGTAGATCTTCAATATTCAAGCTGGAATGAATCATCAAAGTCCTTGTGATAAAGCCGTGCATGGTGGGATACAACAATATCCGAAATGAGTTGAGTATCTTTGATGGTCAATTATAGCTTGTATAATGGTATCGTGAGTTGATTGAGGTGTTCGAAATTTGGACTGTTGGATACTGCTTCGATGATATAGAGATGTAACGTGTTCACTGTAAAGGTCCCGAGTACGGTTCCTCGCTGGGTCTTGAGTGTGAGCTACTAAAGAGTTTCACACCAAAAAGAAAAAAGCTATTCGGTGCTTTCTGGATTTAGTCGGTTGTCTAGTTAATTTTATCCAAACCTATCATGTAACTTAAAGGTTTCGTTCATGACGTGAGTAGAGAAAATATGCTGTTACACAGAAACCGTTAATGTTAGTACAGCAGAAAGGTATTTTAAACTATAAACCAAACGTCACCGCATAATAATAATAATAATAATAATAATAATAATGTTCTGCATGACAAATAAAATTAACCCTAAATTCTACATCCAGTTGTAATCAGCACAGAGCCAAGAAAATGGTACGCCAGCTTAAGTTCCCATGCAGCATTAGCGCAAATCAATGAAATTAAGAATCAGAAGCCTATGGTTGATTGAATATTTTCTTCAGTAGAATACTGAAATATTATTAGTGACTACTGGCTTGATGAAATGCATTAAGATCGTATTGACAAATCATAGTGTCCTAGGTTGACCGAAGACTTCGTGTTAGGCAAGGAAAAGCTTATTTTTTTCAGTGCAAGAATCTTCAGTTTGAAAATATCGATTAGGTGTTTAACATTGTCATGTTTTTTTATGACTTATAGACTAAATCTTTTATGGATTTTGTGTGTATGTGCATATGTTTTTGTGAAGTGATTTGTGATATAACATTTACTGTCAATAGGAAATTGTACTGAATAAACCGCTTTCGTTTTCTTACTGTTTGACCCATAATATTTCTGATAAAGGTTCACTTTCATTTTGTAGCAAAATGATCGTTCTGGACGTTATATACCACCATCATTACGTGGTGATGCAGCTAATACTAGTGGGTCCAGTATGTCAACTGACAAACGTCCATTCGATGAAAACACTGTACGTGTCACTAATTTACCACCGGACACAACTGCAGATGAATTGAAATCAGTGTTCAGTGCATTTGGTCACGTAGTGCGCATCTATCCAGCAAAAGATAAATTGACACAACAAAACAGGGTAAATTATTTCACTTTCTGTATATATCCACTTTTATTATTTTTAAAAGGTTGTTCTAAACATTCAATAAGTATATATGAAAGTTTTCTTAAAATCAAAGTTTACTAAAACTACACATATTTGAGTTTAACAACACTAATTACAATAGTTGGGTCGTGATAGCATGCATCCAAACAATTATACATCTGTGCGAAATGGAAAGAATAACTCAATATATGCATATCAGCGAGGTAACCGCTTTACGTTTCCTTTTTTATCACTAAACAATAGTGCACATTACGAAGAGTTAATGACACATCAGTTTAGCCATGTGGAAAAACATAAAAACCGCAAAAGCGATTATAATCATTTATTTGTCTCCAATTGTATAACCATTAATCTAATAATAATTAGAATCTTTAATTGTCATCATGCATATGTTGTATTCTAAGGTAACAGTAATATTGAGTAAGAATTTGTATTATCTTGCCATTGATATTCAAGATTGGAATTTTCTATTTTGTCTTTGTTGGCAAATGTGCTACCTAAGCGGATTGTCTTCGCATAGCCATTTGTGTCATAAGTACCAGTACTATTTACTTTATAAGTTTCAAATCTGTATGTCAACATCAACATTGAAATGCGTGTACATCTGACTAATCCCAAATATGACGAAACGCGCGTTCTGAATTCCAGTGTTAGACATAATTCAAATTGTGTAATAGATAAGAACGTAGAAAACAAATCTGACACTAATACTGGGCAAAAGACAAGTTGTTACCACGATATCGAGCTCACGGAAGATGAAAAAAAGAAATGACCATTATGGCACATTTTTTACTAACTTGGATGCATACTTAAGGGATGGCTTTGAAATGAATTAAGACCGTCTATTCTAAGTAAAGAATATTAGGAAATAACGAATCATGAAACAGTCTAAAATAGATTTAAAGTGTGTTCCTCTATGTTGGGGACAATAGATCCCCAAAACTCATATTTGTAATTTTATCATATCGATTAAGTAATTAAATAGCAGTCAATTGATGAAATCATTGATTAATGTTTAAAAATCTCCCATGACAATATCGATTATATATATTTGTATATATACGTTTTAAATTGTGTTTGTGGGTTTGCTCGTTTTCTGGCTGTTTGCAGAATATATTTTCCATACCAATCTTGGACTTCTCCTAGGTAGTGGGGCTGGAACGCATCAATAGCTAGATTACTGGTCTTTGATCACTGAGTCTTGTTCTCGTTCGCAGATTAAGTGAACTCGTAAAGCTTCAAACCTAGCACCCTATTACAAAAAAAACATGTATTTGCAGTTAAATTTAACTGCTTTGCAATCTGTAAAATGTTTAAGTCATCTTTTCTCATTTAATTTAACTCTATTTTTAGGGATTTGCCTTTATATCCTTCAGAACTGCGGAAGAGGCGAAAAGTGCAATTTATGGTGTCAATGGTCTTAGACATAACCATGTTGTTTTAAAAGTCGATTGGGCAAAGTAAGTTTAACATTGTATTTGTGCTGCAGTGCATGAAATCTATTTTAGTCTGGAAGTTAACAAGAAGTGGAATTTATTGCCTTTACGCATGCTCATTTATGTCACACTTTTTATGCCAAATATAATCAGATAATGATGGTATAGTGTATTAGCGAGTTTTAGTAATACCTGTCTTTACCAATTCATTAAGCTTTATTATTTCAAAAATTAGTTCTCCTCAGTACACTATGTTGATTGACTACGATTTATGAACTACTCTTTACAAAATGTATTCATCTAGACTTCAAGTTTAAATTTGCATCTACAGCTCTAGCATCGGCCTTATCGCAAGACTTGACACAAGTATGTATCGGTCCCATTTGCCACATCAGAAATTAAAGAGAAAAAGAGCGATGTAACAAGACATGAAGCACCCGAGTAAAGTAGTATTTGCTCTATTAGTAAACTAATAGCAAGAAGAAGTTCAAAGAACAACTGAGATTTTGAAATAAAATTAACCACGATTGCACCACCACTGATTTCGAGCCGTGTCATCTTATTCCTCTCCCTCCATCGATTATGGTTATTATTCCTTCTTCAACTAAAAGATCTGTGACTGTGGGGACGGTTCAGGTTAACAGTCACTGACTTCATAGTAACTCTGTGTTTTTATATTCGTGCCTCTAACCTTTCAAATTTACTACTATTCCGGCCAAAACGAGGGATTTTTTTAGGTATGCGTTTGAGATACTGTGTCCCTAAGTAATGTTGTCACGCTCCAATAGTGAGTAGTAAGATCTTCATTTTATACCTCGTATTTACTGCTTTTCTTACCCCTATCCAGCCGATCTGCACGAAACGTGTTCTAGACAATATTAGCTCTATTGAGTTGCTACCATATGGAAACCTTATCATCACATCAAGATGCTAGCTACGGTCTAGTTTCATCAGTGAAGGGATGACCATAATTATCTTGTTAGCTCTACCGTAAGTAATACGTAGAAGTGGGATTCACTGAGGCCATGACCTAACACCTATTTTAGGTTGCGGTAACCACCAACTTATATTTTTCCATTGCTGATATTCACAATTAAATATGACTATTGGCGGCGTGAGCAAATGAATTCACTGAATGAATGATACCTCAAATATACGTTTATATTGATTATCCATGTATCTATTCAAAGGACCAATACACTTATATAGTGATTAGATTGAACTCTTGATATCAACAACGGAATAATAAGAACCTATACAACATTTATTTAGAATGACCCCAATCTCAAAACCGAATTGGTATAGTACGATATGATGAAATATCTCTTTTGTACATAAAATGTAACCCCTCTTTTTCATCTCAACAGTTCTATTTTGTTTATTCCATCTAATTATCATTTGTGACACCATTTTCATGACAGCAATCAAAGATGTTTACTTTCGTGAAAACCTCTTCATTTAGTAATAGTTCTTCTTGTCACTTGAGCCAAAATATTTATTTCGTTGTGTATGGTGAAGAAGATTTATAACTCAAGTGGATAATTTTATTCTCTGATCAAACCATCCGACTCTGAGAACAAAACTCCACCTAAAAGATGTTTTTTTTGCAATTATTTGGATATTTTCCATAACACTGGTACTATAAGTTAAGATATTTTGATAGTATGAATCCTAAGCTAAGTTGTTCTGTTCGTCAGTGAAACTGTTATGATTTGGTTAGTTTACTCCTATAATTCATCTAATCATTACTTGATTGTGAAAGTTCTCGAAAACAGACAATTGAACATTGTTTAGTCTAATCCTCATTACTATTTAACTATTATTATTCTTATTCATTATTTCAGACCTTCAAATAATTAAACCTTTCGAATAAGCATCGATATCTCACTCCTGTTTCACCTACATCAATTGTTAAGAAAAATATATATATATATTTACAGACCTAATTGATAATAAACGAGGTGCATTGAATGAATTCTTAATTTTCAATATTTTGTTCGTTTTGATCTATGAAAATTAATCAACCAAACATCTTCTATATGTATCGATCAATCTAATCTGCATATTATTGTTTGTAGTATCCCCTCTTATCGTACTTTTTATTCGATAGGGATTTCAATATTAGCTGCAATTTCAACGTTCCTTATAGTTGAATGATTATGATAGTTCACTCTTACAAATAAAAGATTTAATTTGTTTCAACGAGCATATATTTTTTTAGGGTTGAAAAATTGATCAATTTCTACTGAAAGCATCCGTTTTGTGCCGTGTTACATAACCTTAATCAGTCAATGTCTGTGTTCAATATTATTTAACAACAATTCAAAAAATCTTCACTTTTCCGGAATAAAGCGATATCAGCTCGTGAAATCGTGTACATAACGTTAACCTAGAAAGACACGATCGATTCACCAATTGCTATAAAATTAAATTCCGGCATATATTACTCATTGTTTAATGTTGTAGTATCAATATAAAACCATGATTGGAAATATATCTAACACGACAATTTTCAGGGTTAGTGGTTTGATGGGAATTAAGTCGTCGAAATAATAAACCGAGTGTCCAGAACAGATCGCCATGGATTTGGCAGCTCGTAACGGTTATGCTGTTCTTAGTTTACGGTCTTTCTCGAAGGACATTAAGTACAACACTAACTTTATTTACTGGATCTGCCGGGTGATTAAGAGGTATCAAGTTTACTAATATAGCGGTTACTCGAAATTTCTGTTCAAAAAGTGAATGCCAAGTACAACATTAACCTTTAAACCTCAGAAGCGTCTGGAATGTACAATGCATTGTTTAAAAATGACAAGATCTATCAATACTAGGTATAAATTTTGAGTTAGTGTAATGATGAGTAACAACTGTCAGCCAATTACCAAAGTCGAAATCTTTAATACAAACGTCAACTGTACAGAGTTAAAACTTGGAGAACTACTACAACCATCATCAAAAAGGTACTATTATTTATTATATATTATTTGGACACATAAAAATTGGTACAATAATGCGCCACACAAAACAATTACAATTTAAAGAGAAGGAAAAAGAAAAAAGGTAAGGAGTGTAAACAAAAAAGAGAACAATAATGAAGAGATTGGTGTAAGGTAGTGTGGTAATAATAATAGTAATAACGAGGAAACGGATAGGTACAATCAGAAGAAATCTTTCAGGTAAGGGAGACACAACCACTTTTTATGAAGAAAGTAAAAGAAGGTTACAGCAGGATCGCCAGTGGCTTCTATTCTGTGCCATATCTGATAACGTCTCTAGCCTCTGTGTAGCACCATCTCTCAGACCCCAACCAGGGAGTCGTGAAGGACCAACAGAAGCCAGTCCTTTGCAGCTTCCTTTCATACCATGACACCATGTCATGCACTGACCACCTCTCCGCTTCTTCCAACCAGTCCCAGAGTCGGCAAATAATGCATGACGTGGAATTCTCTGGGACGACATTCGTAGAAGATGTCCAAGCCACCGAAGTCGGTGTTTCAAGATGGTGACACCAATTGAATTATCATCTCTGTGCCCGAACACACGATGCTGAACCTCTGCATTACTGACATGGTGTTGCCACTGAATGTCAGCAATCATTCCGAGACAAAGATGATCGAACACAGAGAGTCGTCTAACGTCCTCAACTCGGAGAGACCAGGTTTCACAAGCATAGAGCAAAACTGCTCTCACCGACGCGTTGTAGATCCGACCTTTTACAGCCAGACTAACATCACCAGATTGGCATAAGCCGCTCTGGCTTTCACTATGCGTGCATTGATCTCATCACTCACACCACCACCAACAGCTGTGCAGCTACCCAGATAAACGAATTTCACCACCCAAAGTGAGTACAGCATCAGAATCCTGCCAGTCTTGTAGAAGTATTTTGCACTTCGAAGGTGCAAAGCACATACTGTACATAAAGACATTGATTGCCGACTGATTAAGTGCGGATTGCATGCTCGGGCATTATCGCACAGTAAGACAATATCGTCCGCATACTCAAGGTCGAGAAGTCTTTCTCCAGGCAACAGATCCACACCACCATTACTTACATCCATCAGAGCTGTCTCCAGAATGTCGTCGATGGCAAAGTTGAAGAGGAATGGTGAGATTGGGCAACCCTGTCTAACCCCACTGCTCGAATGGGACAATGGATAGAGATGGTTGTATGCCCTCACTCTACCTGGGGTGTTTGTATATAGGGCTTTTAGGATGTTAATAAACTTCTCAGGCACACCCTTCTTCAATAGACAATCCCAGAGAACAGTCCTCTCCAACGAATCGAAGGCAGCCCTGATGTCAAGAAACACTACGATTGTTGGTCTTTGATAAGTATGGCGGTGTCCTAACATTTGGCGGAGGGTAAAGATATGATCAGTACATCCTCGGCCAGAACGAAACCCAGCCTGCTCCTCGCCAGTCAATCTTTCTCGGGTTTTGAGCAACCTACGAAGTATGATGGAAGCCAATAGCTTGGACGCAATCGGAAGTAGACTTATCCCCCGAAAGTTTCTACAGGAACGACGTGAACCCTTTTTAAAGATAGGGACAACTATCGACTCATTCCATGACGTTGATACACTCTCTAGTTCCCAAACCTTTGTAAACAACGTCGTCAATTCCTTAGTCAAAAAGTCACCACCATCTTTAAAAAGAGCCGGAGGTAAGTCATCTGGGCCAGGTGATTTGTAACGCTTCAAGAGTTGGAGTTCCTTGCGGACTTCCTACTCATTTGGTGGATCAGTCGTCACCGGCCATGGAGGGCAGGACAGTCTGACCGATGTTGCCGGAGCAGCAGGCCAGTTGAACTGCCCTTCGTCCAAGACGTCGATGGATGTTAGTGATTGGCATCCCATCATCCTCGCAGATTGTTTCACTCACACCAGACTTCTTGCTGCCAGTGGCTCGGATGAGCTGGAAGAGCTTCCGGTAGTTACCAGATGCAGCTGTTGCTTCCAGCTCATTAGCACGCTTCGACCACCAGGCTTCTCGGTCCTTACGCAAGCTTTGCCCGATTTCCTTACGTAACATCCTTCGTTTATGGTCAAACTCACGGTCACCCGGAGTAGACCGACGGGCTTCAATGAGTTGTAAGGAACCTGCAGAAACCCAGTGCTTATAAGCGGGACGTTTCGCAAACCCACAACTGACTGTACCCGACATTTTCATGGCGTCATGCTATTGCAACCAATGCTCATCTATGCTTTTCGGTGGAATGGTAGCTAGCCTAGAAGCTAGCTCGGTTCGATACTTACTTGCAACAGAAGTTGCAACCAACTTGCCAACATCAATCCGTTGGTGACGGTCACTTCGTTGGCCATTGAAAAGTAAGGTAAGATTGGCACAGACCAAAGCATGGTCAGAGTCCAGATAGGTACTCCAAAAGGAGCGGCAGTCTTGTACACAACCACGCCAGCGGTAGCTGATCGCGATGTGATCAATCTGAGTCCAGGCTTGAGATGCAGAGGGAGGACGCCAGGTGGCACATCGGCGATGACTGTGCCACCTAAACGACTCTTCTGTGCCTAGACGCCCGACCTGAGCATTCAAGTCTCCGGCTAGTACTACAATATCTGTCGAACGCACTTTCTGGAGAAGAACAGATAACTGGTGGTAAAACTCATCCTTGATTGCATCCGGGCTGCAATCTGTCGGGGCATAGGCGGAGATGACGAAAAGACATCGTTTCTCACGCCGATTTCTCCTCATTTTGATGGAACTTTCTAATCTAACAGCAAATAACCGACTGTTAATGGGGATCCAATCGACTAGTGCTGCCTCAGCTCTAGCGCTTAGTGCGACACCAACGCCAGCAAGACCAGACGAAGATGCCACAGGGTCTCCGGATAAGCGCGCGTATAACAAGCTTTTTGAAGTGACAGATGAAGAGCGAATTTGTAGTACTTCACCAGAGTCTTGAATACGGGTCTCGGATAGGCAGCAGACATCGATATTAAGACTTTCCAAAGACGGTCAGCCCTATCTGTTGTCCAACCTGCATAAGTGTGCGAACTTTGAAGGCAGCCAGTTTAAATGGTGCACGTGGTTTCAGAAAAACCGCTTCAGTACTCATATTCGGTGGTAACATACAATTTTCAACCGGACAGTGACCCGATAACATTTAGATACAGTCGAATTTCCACCAAAGACGAGCCGCTGTATGAGTATAAAAGAGGGTGAATAATGTGGTAAATAATAATAATGACAATAATAGTAATAATAATAATATTAATGATGACAATAATTGTAATGATAATAATTTGAGTCAATTGATTGTTTTCCGAAGCGAGAAAAGTAGCTTCCATAGACATAGAGAGTTCATCATTTGTGTGTGGGCTGTAATACTGCCCGGGTGCCCAAAGCGAAGCAGGTGGTTATCTTAGGGGGCCAAAGGTGCATCATTAACTTCTACACAGAATGTTGGCAAATGCCGTGATTGTGCATTTAGTTAGGTAACAGATACACAGCAACTAATATTTCAAAACTAGGCACGTTACTGTTATATTTTCCTAAAGTAATGTAAGAACTGAATATCCACTAATCTTGAATGTTGGAATTAAATGCAAAAACCTTGCAGGTTGGAGACATCTTTTACTGTTGAATTCGGAAATAATTCTATTATATGGGATCGGAAAATACCTACTGAGATTTTATAATAAGTCATTAATACATATGTCAATGGTACACCGGTTATATTTCTGCGATAGTTAACAACCAGCATACATTAGTTTGGGATATTTTCTGGATTACTTCAAAATCACGAATAAATCGCTTGACTAACTATTTAAAGCTAAATATTATTTATTTACATTTTTCTATCTATTGCCACACTAATTTTTTGGAGTTAATACGTTAAT